CACGAAGACTTACTATGTGGAACCCAATCCGATGGACAGGAGCAGTTTTTTTTTTATTGCATAGCCATCTAGTCGCGAAGTCGTCTCTATGATCGAGGCTTTATATTTCATGACAAAATATAAAGCTGACTGGCATCCTGTTGTCTTGGATTCAAGCGTTTACGTGGATTCAAGAAATAGATCTTAAAGCAAAGATAAAATGCAGGGCACTGAAACATGTCGCGATATGACATCATTGATCTTAGCGCTAAATATAAAAGCAGGACAAAGAGGGATATAGTATTTGCCTTGGCTAAACATTCTTGACATTTTTGATACTGAGATATTTACCTGCTCTGGCGAGAAGAAGAATGAACTCACTTTCCAGCTGAGCATCATAGCATTTATATCATGTAAGATGACCTTGGATGACTCTTTTGCACTTAGTTGTGACTATGCATTTACTTTCTCCACTAGTCTTGCGGGAACTACAAGAACCCCTAACAAGCTCAGAGAAGCTGCATGTCGCCATGTTAGCAAACGAAGCAGTTTCAAATAATGGCAAGCAAGAAAGAGGAAGGCGAAAATAAACATTCTCACGCTCATGGGCTTCCTGTGTGTAACGCAATCACATACCATCGGTCACACTGCAGTGGCAAGAAATGGTAGCATGGATAAGTTTTGAAAACGGGGAAGCAGGCTAAAGTGCATACTCTTGGAAGTGAAACCACTTCTAAAGGTAACATTCTGTGTATTTATAGCCGGGGCAATTCCTTCTGACGTCAACAAAGTTTTTGTTATTGTTGGGTTGGTATTACTTGCGAATATGGCCGTTGTGACAACATAAACCAACAATTTGCATATAATACACTATCGAAAATTGCCCAGATTGCCTTGACTTTTTGGCTTCTGGAGAAAACTATAAGTATATTGAACATGAAGGAGACCTGTTTCGAAGGTTTTGTATGATATACCGTGAGAGGCAATTCGAGTGTTTTGATAATATTTTTCTTAATGTGACGTGCAAGTCACGTTGGTCACATAATGCGCTTCTTGAGCTCAAATATGCTAATATGAATCGCTCTAAAAATTCGTGCTTTAAGGTCCGGTAATACGGGCAACATTTTTCTTCAACTTGCCTTGCAACATTGTTGCATTGCAAGTTGAAACCCTTTGTTGCACGTATTACGACGTTCGTGACCAACTTGTCTCGCAACAAAATATAGTGTTGCAAGTTGAGGCAGCGTGTTGCGCAAGTAGACTCGAGTTCTACTTTCTGCAACAAATTTTAGTTTTGCTTCAACTTGCCTTGCAACAAATTTGAATTCAACGCCTGTGATTGGCTGTCGCAAAGCGCGCCGACGCGGCAAATTTAAAACAAACATGACGGATGGAGACGAGCTTGAGGCTGTTGAAGTTGACCAAAAACTTTCCGAGAGCCAAAAATTTTCCCTATACAAATACCTGGAGGGTTATCGTATTTTGTGGGACACATTGAATGTCCATTCAGAAAAAAAGCAGCAAAACAAGCAGCAAAAGGAGAAAGGCTGAGAGGAACTGTCAGAAAAGTATAACTTATCGCCAGGCTATCTAAAACGACAACTTCATACTGCGTGGACTGCCTTGGCACGGGAAATTAAGAAGGAAAGGGACGGGCAGAAGTCCAGGTGGAAGTTCTTCGACATGTTAAGTTACATGAAAGAAGACGTTCTTCGTTCGCTAAGGGCAAAAGAAGGAAATGAGTGGACGGAGAACATGACGGAGCATTTGATAGAGTACTATAAACAAAATGACCTCCTATGGAATCACAGCCTCTCATCCTACCTGGACAGAAACTTGAAGGAACTAAGCTACACAAAGCTATTTGAGCTTCTCCCTGGTAGAAGCCATGATGACATTAAAAGTCGGTGGAATGTGCTCAAGACCATTTTTAGCCGAGAGGTTAAAAAGAAGAAGACAGCAAGGTCAGTGGAACCGGAAGGGACGCCGTATATACCTCGCATCGGAAAAATTTGAAATCTTTGATGTTTATCAAGGGGAGTGACGACGTCGACCCTGCTATTTCAACACTTGATCCTACAGAAAATGAGAGACCGGCAAAGAAAATTAAAGCTGAGAAGGCAAAAGATGTTGAAGAGGTAGCTATACGCGTTTCATTTATTGTGCTTTTGTGATGCATCGAGGCAGAGCGATGTTCACTATTCACCATCACTTTCGTAAGTAATTGGCAATCACTGTTATTATTATTGTATAAGGTAAAACTGGATCTTTACAAAGAAGCCATTAAGTGCCTGCAGACCCCTCTGCCACTTGCAATTGGTCAGCCAAATGTGGAAAATCGTAACGATTCCATCAGTACCTTTGTAAAATCGCTGGAGTCTTCATTACGACAGTTTTCTGGTCGCCACCTGGCTATTGCTAAGAAAAGAATCAACGATGTTATTTTTGATTTGGAAATGGAATGCTTTGCACCACAATCCACACCTGTATCTGTGAGCAGTCCTCAGTCCACAGACCTCTTAGACAACCCACAAGCATCAGCATCCAATTTCAACGAAGAAACCTTAAACTGGGCTTATTTACATTGACACTACACCTTTATAACCTGATTATACATTTCTAACACATTTATAACCTAATATCAAATGTTATTTTGTGCCTTTCAAGCCTCCAAATACTTTCAATTTTTTTCATTTACCTTTAAGTTGTCAAAATATGAAAAAAATCACTAAATTTCAACCTTCTGTGGTCACTGAATTTCAATTTTCTCCACTGTCAATTTTAACCTTTGGCTGTCAATTTAATTTTTCAGCACTGCCTGGGACGAATTAACGTGGAGGTTAACATCTGTTGTAAGAGTAATTTTGCGTTCCCTGTGGGTCTGTTAAGTTGGTTTTCAAAGTTTAGCTACATGTAGCTAATAAGCCAGAAATTTAAGTACTGAAGAAATGGAAATGTGCTGGCAAATCTTATTCAAAATTACCCTTCAAAATGAAGTCATTTCTAGTAATAAAGCTATTATTGACATTTTATTAAAACATATTTGTATGTATTCCGCCATAATTTAAATGATGTAAATGTCCATTTCTTGAAAGATGTATGGTTTACAAACATATAATCTTCAAAAAATATTATATTTCATTAAAATTAAAGTGCCATTTTAAAATGGTACACTGATACTTGAGGATCTTAAAAATCTCATTTCAACTAAGTTAAAGTTATTTAAATAAATCCTTATGGTTTTTTTAATCAGACCATACTCATATTTGTTATATCTTAATAACTTTATAAATAGCATGATGTAAAGTCCATTTCCTGTAAGACGTAGAGTTTCAAATCTACACTGTTGTATAAAGATTACTCTATTTCAGTAAGTACCTTATTGAAATGGTACACGCTTATAAGGACCTTAAGGTCTCCTTTGTGATAAGTTACTGTTAATTAAAAAATTGGTCTCTTGAAGTATTTTACGATATGTATTGCTTCTACTGTAAAGGTCTTACAGATCAGCAAAATTATGTATCAAATGATTCTTATAGCCATTGGTACCTATTCAAATGGTACACATACATGTACTGAAAACAATCCTAACTAACTCATCTGAAAGATATTGCTGTACAGCACCAATGTTATAAAGAAACTCATTAATTTGTATCTTTCCATCTGCCTTTTGAGACGGAAAAATACTCAAAACAACACTGCACCTGGGATGAAATGTTGTCTTAATATAATACAGTCCATATATATTACATATGAAACCACGAAAGATTATTTCTGCACAGATAGCAAACACACTGTTTTGTCACAAAGCTAAATGCCTTGATAGAGTTATTGTCACGAACCATAATGGAAAATCATGAAGCAAAATGAGCCGGACATAAATTTGTAGAGGGCACATTGAAGACAGTACAGTTCACTTCTCTTCTTATTACAATGACATTAGAGGGAAGCTGGAAAAACTTAATGCAACATACACATCTTAAAACTATTCAAATGAACTGAACTAACTGCAATATAGAAATATGCAACAGGTGCTATGGCTATGGGAACTACCTATTTCACACTTTTCCTTTTCATAAACATAGGCATAATTAGGAATGAAAATATCACTGAAATGGTATCTCTATTATCTTTCAGTTGAGAAGTAGAAGTCACCAAAGAAAGAAAGAGCTTAGCCAATTTTTATTTAGCAATACTGAAGGTCTAATCTAAACCTTTCATCTCACATCAGTTTGGTTTCAAAACAATAAACATAATTCAAAAACATTTTGTGTTCATGGCTTAGTGACTTTCATTCTACATAAGATTCACACCAGTTCAAACAGTGCCCTCTCCACACAGTCTCCACTGCCATGGTACTACTCTCTCCTTCATGAAATAATCCATGTACTCTTCTCTAATTGCCCTAGCTTCAGTGGAGTAATTGTTGCTGCATTGAGGATGATAGTCAAACCATGATGACACCTCACTGCTGTTGCACCTCCAAGGCCCAGGGATCACATTGCCTTCCTCGTCTTCTTGATCGGTCATCCCGTTTACTCTGTAGAGAAAATTTGAGGGCTTAATCAATTCTTATTGGTAAATTATGTACATATTTCCAAGGGGGGGCAGTACTCGAAGTATACATCGAACATTTCTTATCCTGCAGGTTTGCTCCACCTCAATTCCACTGAGTTTCTTTTTCCCTTTTGTAAAATCGGGAATCTTGATTGTAGAACAAAATAATCCCACTGACTCTTGGATATCAAACCCCTCGTCAGCAAGAATGACATCCCCTGGGTTAAGATGATCTAAAAGCCCACTATTTTCTGTAAGGTGCTCGTCACTAACCCTCCCACCCCACCCTTCTGAAATAAAACTCACATTACCTTGGGGAGTAATACCTATAAGATACTTCACAATATTATGGTGTTTGTATGATGAAAAGGTCTGGACCCTTGCAAGACGATGCAAAGGGCGGTCCACAAATATTTCAAAACAGTCAATAATAACGATACAGGTTGGGCAGTGCTTGCGGAAGTTCATTGGTAGGGTTTAATAAAGAGCATCTCTGTGCCATCTGATGGTTGGTGACAGGACAGTTCTAGCAGAGCACTAGCACATTCACTCCTCCTTCGCTTTTCAATCCTTCCTTGTGATCTTTCATATCTTTCATTGCTAGTCACTGAAACGCCACGGAAATCATAACCAAGATTCTGATTTGGTGCCCAGTCTGGGTTTTCCTTATCATAAATCGACGACGGTTTTCCTATGTAGATGGGAATGAGATCAAACAACTGCCATTCGGAACATATGCAAACGAAGACAGCGCTTAACGCTTTGAATCATGGGCATAAAACTGAAGTGTGTGGAATCGAAAGCTGAGCGAATAAAGTTCAAAATCACCAAAACCGATCATTATGCCTCGTGGTTTGTGGTATAAAGTACATTTGTACAAACCTGAAATAAAATGGTCCCCGCAAACTCTATGAAATTCACTGGGATCAGCCCCTAGATCTTCTCTTCGGATCCTAGAGAGCCAAGTCGCTCTACGTTCGATGCTTAAAGCTCGCTTTTTAGCGTTCGATCTGGTGACAATTGCAGGTATGCGAAAATAACTTTTGTCCTTTTCTCTGTTTGAACGGTTTGAGCAACCAAATACTGCACAAAAGTTAACCATAACAGGAAAAATCCAACAATAAATTCACTCCAGCTTCAAGCATGTGCTATTTGATTACAACTGTTTGTCCTCCAGTTCGGCAAGTAATTCATGGCAGTCTCCATATAGACTCCCTGTTACCCCTGTGTACCCATGTAATGTTACCCATGTACACCTGTATACCCTGTGTACCCATGTATACCCTGTGTACCTATGTATACCCTGTGTACCCATGTATACCCTGTGTACCCATGTATACCCTGAGTACCCATGTGTACCATGTGCACCCATGTATACCCTGTGTACCCATGTATACCCTGTTTACCCTGTGTACCCCTTTGTACCCCGTGTACCCTGTATATCCCTGTGTACCCTGTGTACTCTGTGTACACATGTGTACCCATGTGTACCCACGTGTACCCATGTGTACCCTGTGTACCCATGTGTACCCTGTGTACTCTGTGTACCCTGTGTACCCTGTGTACCCATGTATACCCTGTACACAGGGAGCCTATTACTCAGGAGCCAATTGCTCCAGGCTTTATTTACTCAATTCATGTCATTAAAGATTGAAATGGTCTCATTTAGGGGTCCAAAAACGGTTGGGCCACGTCAAGATTTGTCTCCTTTAGGAGTTTATTTCGAAATTGCAGACGAGCATCCCAGTCCATTTTATATGGGATTTTCCCCCGGGCTAATAAAATCATAAAAAGTTGTTCATAATTCATTTGTGAACATACAAAAAGGGATTGTGCACGGTCAGAGAGCTTCTATTGTTTCCAACTGATGTTTGCCTGGTTTCCTGTATACATGATATACAGGGTATACTTGGGTATACATGAATATACAGGGTGTACAGGGTATACAAGGTAGACAGGCTATACGAGGTATACAAGGTATACAAGGGTATACATGATATACATGGGTACAAAGGGTATAATGGGTAAACAAGGTACACAGGGTATACATGGGTAACCAGGGTACACAGGGTATACATGGGTACACAGGGTACACAGGGTACACATGGGTACACAGGGTACACACGGA